CAATAGTTGAGACTGTAACTTTAGTTGACAAGTTAGCTATCGATGAAAGCGATGCTTCTGTTCAACATCTATAATATGATGAAGGTTTTTTTGTGAAATTCGAACAAACTGACTTTTCGCAAATTAACAACTGCACGACCTTCTAGAATTACAATAAAACGAAAAGCGGGTTCATTCATGCAATAAATAGGCAATTTTTCACGCTGTTTTGTTGAATAACCAACTATCTTTGGCAAATATGTCATATTAATCTAAAATAATATAATAAAAAAAAGCACATGTTCAATCGAGTTTTTTGAAGAATAATATTAATACAGAACCAAAGACTAAAGAGTTAAAAATAAATGCTTCTATGATATGATCAGTGGTCGGCAAGTAAAATATTGTAGCAAGAAAAGTAATAATATTAGAATGCTTGCTTCTTTGATATTACGTCTTAGTAAGTATGCTAAAGCTCGTTGATCAACGTATTCAGAGCTGAATAATGCATGATGCTGTTGCAAAAAATGTACGATCATCTGTTCCATTTGTACTGATAGTTTTCTACAGCATTCTTCACTTGCCAAAATTTTTGTGAAACCTGGCTCCTGAAATAATGCCTCTTTTCAACAAGGAGAATTTCTCTCTTCATAACTTTCCAGTTCAAAAAGTCACTGTAGATAAATGTCTACTTTTAAGAAAATTTAAAATTATTAATTAAGCGTCATTTTCAATAAATTATCTGATACAGATATAAGTATTTGTGTTACTTTTAATCTGTCAAAGCACAATATTTGTTAGCTGTGACCTTGCCATATTTTCTTTTTGATCGATACAAATTATCCGTCACTGAATCGCTTTCGTCAATGATTTCAGATTGCAATATTTCTTCTACTATGTCTTCCAATGTCACAATGCCAAGTAAAGACTTGGTCTGCCGACTAATTTTTCGGTCGAACACATTATGAACTCTTTCAACAACAGCCAGGTGATAATCACCCTAATATAGATGTAATAGATAAAATAAACCATAATCATAGCAGAGTATTTTCTTGGAAAATCACTACAGTTAGATTTATTGAGGAAATATAAGAGGAGAAAAATTCACGTGTTTAAATTAACAAATAACAAAAAAAATACAACCGATTTAAATTCATCAAGCATTGAATGCAACGGTTTGCTTGCATCAACAAATCGCAATGGATATTGGTGAAATTCACAAACTGTTTTGACGGTGAAGTTGTCATGTGGATCAATTAAAGCCAAATCCTTGACCATTAAAAGAGCTTTAATGTTGTTTGGGTCATCATCCTGCAAAGCTATTCAAATATCAATTGTAGTTTGTAACATTCGACAGGAAAAAAGCATTACAATTTTTTATTATAAATAACACGTGTGCATTGCATATATAGTGTAAAAATCGCGCGCAGTTAGTATTTTTGTAACATTTTTATTAATGACTTGTGCAACCAACCGCATAAACAGGAATCCTGGAGTAACCTCGTCGTATAATTTCAGCAATTGTGGCAGCATCCAGAACCATACTTTCAGGTAACATAAATACATTCTATAATGTAAATTTTTGATTGCAGATCCCGAAAGTAATATTCATTTATTTAAATTAATCAATTCGCAATATGATTATATTGAAGTGGTAATGATAAACTTTCTTGACAATATCAAGCGAAATATGATTTAAACGAACCAATTTATTTGAAAAATCAAAGGACTAGATATTTCATCTTCATCAGAAAAGAAGTTATTATTAAAGCTTTATTGAGAGCGTGAATAAGTGAACTAAACAAATTGAACGAACTGTTAGTGATGAAGATTGAAGTTACTATATAATGAATATTCATAAACAAAGTGTTACCTCAATTTTAGTAAGCACGTCTCCTACAGTTTTTTCACTTATTTCCATAGCACCAACAACGATTTTCAATTCAGCTGCTAATTCTTGATTTTCTTCGCATGTTGTCATTTTCATCAAATTTATCAATCTTAACTTGGAATAAAGGCTGCATATAATTTAGCATTTAGCTTATTCTGTTAATATATTAAATCAGAATTGCTTTATATGATAGCATGTTGCAGAATCGTATTTAGATGCAGAATTAAAGAAAATGAACATACTTGCAGCGGTCATATACTGGTGTGTCTTCTCCTAGAAAAACATCCAGAATTTTGCTAATTGGATAGGATAAAGGAAATGTAAGTATCATAAATGTTCGAGTCAACCAAATTGTATACGCACCGACTGCTAATCCTTTCCTGACCATTTAATTTATTTATTACGTAAGACATCAATTCTTCTGTAGCAAAATAAATACAATTTTTTGCAGCAAAAAGCAAAGTTATGAATATGATGATTAGTGCAATCCTGAAGATTCAAAGTATTTTTGCTCTTCAAACAATTTCTATTGCACATCCGTCTGTAAATAGCATTGATGATTTCAACCAACAAACCTCTGAATACATATTCACATTATGGTGAATTCTTCAAAATAAATAACTTGATTTCAAATTTTGTGATTTAATGAGTTTCATTGCATTATTTATATTCATATTAATAACGGTTTATGCTGTCAAGTAAGAGATAAAAAGCTGACTTTTTTCCGCAATTTCCAGTGCTTTTACAATTTACCTATTAATGATGCTAAATTAAATTGCCTTATTACATTAACTTTTTGTTAATTTTCATTCTTACAATTATTGATAAAAAATGAGTAAAATTTGAATGTAAATTTTTGCGCAGGTAAAATTAAAATTACTGCTTTTTTAACTCAATAACTTTGAAATTTTAATGATTCAAACTTACTTAACGCAAATACTCTGTGGTATGATTTCACCTATGACAACTATTCCTACAGATGATATAATAAATGCCACCATTCCACTAGTCATATCTTCGAATAATATTGAAATTGCTGCATTTACGACCACATTCATGATTAGTATTGTGCATAATAAATAATTACCTGACTTTCGTACAGGTAAAATGGTTTCTGCATATTTTCGTTCTGTTTTTGAGCCTTAACTTAATTATTTCTAATTGAAGTAAGATGTTTATGCTAACAGATGAGTCCAGTGTTGCATGGCTTTGAGCTCCTGTTTTTTAACTCAGATAAGAATGAAATTTATTCAAACTTAAGCCATTATTATTAAGCTCAATCTACTACTATACCTTTATATCGTTAATTTTAATTTACTCATGAAATATTTATAATGCATTTGCTTGGAGGATAAAATTAGTGTTAAAATTGATTTAAAAAAATAAATGTAAAAACATATTGTTATGTGTGGCTTAAACTTATTAGTATTTAGCTAAATTTACTTCTTAGCTAAATTTTTTTGTTGCTGAATTTATCAAAATATGGTAAATTCATTTCAAAATAAAATTTACCACATTTTTGTATAAGTACCAGTTCCTGAGGGGATAAAGCCATGAGGCCTAAATTTAGGCCTGAAAATAGAGCAGAAAGACAGAAGAGAAGAAAAATAATACTGATTTGCAGATATCCTGGTAAATAATAAATACGTGTTGGTGTTTCGGTAATTATTGAATTGCGCGCTTCATCCATCTAAACTAATCAACCATAAAAATGTGCCAAAATGAATAAATGAATGAATAATTAATCATAAATTATTTTTTGAATTAAAATCTAAGCTTATTAGTGTACTGCTTTTTTAAGAAGTAATGTGAAGCGTTACAGTAAAAACATTTTTACAATACGTTTTCCAAGTTGAGAGATTGCTTATTCCATAGTGGCATTTCATAAAATTCATCAAGTTTATACACAATCACTCATTCTGTTCGAAAATTAATGTGACTTAAGATATTAACGAAGTGGACTGATACCATAATCATATCTTCTTCCTCTTCGCTGGATTCTTTACCACTTTTTCGTTCTCTATAGCAAATATGATATGGTTCATCGGATCTGTAATTTGCATTAAATTTTTCGTATATTTATGTATCACAGAATTTTTCCTAAAAATTGATTGATTGAGTTCAAAATGATTTTAAAAATTGAAATAAATGCAAAAGAAAAAACAAAAGGCTACAAGTTGTTTATATCGGAATTTAGCAAATAAATTTTATTGTAAGTTGGTAGGAATTGCTTATGAAATTAATGAAGTTCTAGCTTACTCTGTAAAGTGAGCTATAAAATCGAGTCGTTTAGCGGTTTGAATAAGGAATTCTGGACGTGATATATTTATTACAGAATTAAAACAGTTGTCTGTTGTAAGTGATATAACACCAATTTTATCAAGATGATAACCAAACATGACAATGCGTACACGCGAATCAGGATAAATAATTGTTGCACCTGATTCACTAAAATACATGTTAGATTTGAGGTTTAATAACTATATTTTTGAGTGTATCATACGTCAAATTATTAGTCAAACTATTGTAATTTTTAATGCTGAAAATGCTTTGTTGGAAAATTTTTTGTATCTAAAATTTAATAATTAGTTTCAGTGAAAATTAGTGCTCACGAATAGCTAATTAAGCCATTTTGGCTGGGCATATTGACAACTCGTATACCGGAAACATATGGTTTAAGTTCATAAGTTACAAATTCAATTTCAATTTCCTGAAACAAAGCCATAAAGAATGCAAACATAATTTTAAAAAGAAGCACAATTATTTTCATGAAAAAATAAATAGCGTACATTCAGTTTCAGGCGTAAACAAGAATACATGAATGACCTGCTGTTTGATAGAATCCTTCATTGAACTCATTGTGCACGAGATAAAAGATGGAAGAATGATGAATAACGGCAAAAACATTATAAGAATAACTTTTTTGGTTATTAAAATATCAAAGTTTGAAAAGCGACAAGAATAAAAGAATCTGCAAATTAAGTATACACCATAAATGTCAAATAAATTTGGTATGCATTAAGTAAATCTTCAAATTAAGTATGCATCATGCACTAATTTACCATAATAATATATATTGAGTTGTATGCAATTAAAAATGGTCACATAAATAACTTCAAAGTAGATATCGGTTTGTTATTATTTATAAAGTTAAGTATTTTGTTAAATAGAGAAAAATCAAATTTGAAACTGAATTCAAGATTTCACACAGAGCCTAGAATTAACTTAATGAATCGGCAAAAAAAGAATGCCTAACAAAGGTCTAACGATTTCAAATGTTCTTGCTTGCATAACTGCACTTGTGCTCTGGGTATCACTATTTTTTGTTAGTCACTGAACTAATCAGCAAAATTTAAATTTCACCTCATTGTGAGAGTTAAAAATTTTTGCTCCACAAAGGTCTATAATGATGAAAAAGTAGAAGTGAGTTTTACGGAACTAGAGCTTTAGTAATAATAAGTAGTTTGGACTATAATTATGTTGAAATGATGATGATAAAAATTGAAGGAACGATACAAAAAAGCATAATTTAAAGACAGTGATAAGAAAATAAGCATCAAAATCATCTTGTAATCGATTGTAGTGAAAGTAAATATTGAAACTGGAAAGACTGATTTCTGAGATTTTGAATTACAATTTGAATTTCAATGATTTTCAACATAAGATTCTGAGAGCTGCACAGTAAAAGTAGTCAAAATTTCACTGATTTGGATTGCTTATTTCTAAAACAGATGTTGTTCATCTTCAGTGCTATCAAATGGTAAGCAATTAAGGAAAAACTGTAATTAATTCACTAAAATCTTTTTCATAACAAACCATTTTATTCGCTAAGTTGCATTTATTTTAAAGATAATTAAGAAATTGAAAATTTTTATATAACCAAATAAAATCTGTTACAAATTCGGCTAGTTATTTTAATTTAAAAAAATTGATTACATTTAAAATAATGATGATTTTAGAATTATCGAGAAAAGTTTACATCGAGAAAAGTGTTACTGCTGTGTAATAAAACGTTTATATTATTTACTATCAATATCGTACGAAAAATTGCGCGTTATATTGTGATGTTGGAGTCGTTAACAGGTTTAGTTTTATAAAATTAAAAAAATAAAATTAGGATAAATATAGTAAGAGTTTGTTCATACTAAAGTAATCAAATTTTTAACCGTATCGCATTGAATAAATTTATAAGTTTTACATTTATATTGATGAATAGCCAAATGATACAAAGTCTGATTTAAACGTTATGGCAAATTATGCGAGTCTGTCTGCTAAAGCAAAGAAAGCAAAGATAGAAATGCAGAAGGAAATTTTGTTTGGTAAATTTTATGGTAACTCAAAAATGACAACTATCATAATAAATGAATATTTGAGATGAAAAGACAAGTATTTGCATGGCATTTCAATATGACTATATTTGGAGAGGTTAGAAGATGTCTAAGCAAGACAACAGGTTGACATTTTTGCACAATGATATTCGTCACTCTTTTGTCGTCGAAGCAAATTGCGATTGATGATAATTTGGACAAACAATCCACTGTCTTAGGAATGGCAAAACTCGTTCTCTGCTTTAACGATCAAACAATTGAAGGGGAAGTAATGTGTTGATAAACTTGCTCTTATCAATGTTATCACTGATAATGTTACCTGTATCTGCATTGTGCAAAAAATTTTTGCATGCTTAATATTCTCATTTGAATTAATATGAACATTATAAATTTTGCAAAATTAAGTTCTATGGTTGTCAAGCATAAAATAGATTATTAAAATATTCAAGTTTCAAGAATTAAAACTAGTTCGCGTGATTCAATTTAATTACACTTTTTTCATTTATCAAATTTGGGAAATTTTTACAAAATTTGAAAAGTCTGCTGAAAATGCATATTTATATCGTCTTCTATTGCTTGATGTTTATATGATGCAGAAATAATTTAGGTAACAGAATAAAGTTCGTAAAAATTTATTAATTTTTCAACAAAAACAATAAAGACAAGGAAACGCTTGTTTTCACGAACTTAAAGTAACACTGATGATAATAAATTTTAATACTAGCTTTGACTACATTTAATCAGTAAAACAAGAAAAGTAAAAATTTTACTGAAAATGACAAGTTATTGATTATAAATGCATATAAAAATCTTAAATATTAAAATTTTAAACTTTAATTTCGTAAATGTATTTTATTTGAATTATAATATTTTCTTTAAAATCTTGCCTACCATTAAATTTTATTACGGCTCTAATAACAAGCTACTAATTTTTTAACTAATCCCAATTTATTTCAAATCACAAAGGTTTGGTAAAAACAAGTAAAAATAGTACTGAAAAGGCATATTCAAAAAAATGAAACGTTTTGCTTGTTTTAAATTTATTTAAACGATTTTCAAAAGTGCAAAGAAAGTTAAACAATCATTATGTAAAATAAGCAGATGAAAAAACAAATCAAATTATATAGACTAGTTAGCAAGTAATAAATAAGTTTTCAATTTCGTAAATTATTCAGGTAATTTAGTTGGATACGATTATTATTCAAGCCCAATCGATAATACTTAAGTAATTATCGTATGCAATTAAATCATCGGAACGTTACTTCAATAATTTATTTCAAAATAAATGAGAATGGCATCCAGTTATTAAGCATACTGTTTCAGCTTCATAATTAATGTTATTTTATTTGATGTTAAATTCATTATTTCCATTTTCTGTGATTATTGTTGAACGTCTAATATACTCAGCCAAATTTCTACCATTTCGTGCCAAACGCTCCTCCACACGTTCTTGCTGACTTTGTCCAGAAATTTCAGTATTTACTTGTGTGTTATGTGTTGATGATGACTTTGTTGAGACTGGGTCGGTTGTGATTAGTGATGACACAGCCAGTGTCGTAGATATTCCCGGCATGGTAATAATTGTAGTTATATTCGTATTAGTCATAAAATTATCTGTTTTTATCTCAGATCACTCAAATCTATGATCTGTAATAGAGCAAATATCGTTTAATTATTTTTGCATCTTATGGAAAAAGTAAAGTAGTAAACGAAAAACTGACATTACAGGGAAAAATTGAAACTATCCATTTACTAATAAATATACTAGAACAAATTAAAAGTAAACTAAAGATTTTTGTAAAAATAAAAATTTGAACAAATAGTAGTGAATAACACTAAAAAACACACATAAATTGAAGATAATCATATCGACGGAGAATGATTTCCATTATATCACAGAGATATGAATAACAATTTTAGTGTGTTAAAGTAAATTCAGAGCAAAATTATTTTGAGTGCAATTTGTTTTTCGATCATTGATGAGCTATACAGAGTACTTGTAAGTAAATAAATAAATAATAATTATTATTATTATCAATATTATTAATAGTCTAAATGTAATAATAATAATATCATTTATAATAAAAATGGTATCATCACCTTTCGCCACCTAATTTTTTTATTGCTATCAAAATATCTTTGAAATAAAACATAGTAAAGCACTGTGCTAGGCGAGAGCAGAAACGAAATATATAATATCAATCAAAGAATTTTCGATTTTATAAGATAGTCTTGTGACTACCAGAGCTATATTTTTATGAAAAACGAAAATTGAAAGCTGAAAAAAATTTGATACTACTTTTTTGTTACTACAGCAAAAAATAGCATCCAAAATAATATTTTTCATTTCATTAATAACTTTCAATGAACACGGCACATACAAGTTGTTTTACTACAATTTTGCGCTATTTCATGCAAATAAAATTAAAATTTAGTCAGTGATAATTCATAAATTCAGTCTAATTGTAATATAGAAGTGAATAAGAAAGCTTGCAGATGCACTTCTGTTATTCAAATGGAGCATTTTAATCTTCTCATCATATCACTTCCGTAATGGGAATATTAATGACTAAAAATTTTTTAAGACAGAGCAGCATTAGCTGCTTGACGTATTTTGCTTCTTTATTGCTAAATCTAACAAAAATTTATAAAAGAAAATACTTTCCAAGATGCAACAGCAGAAATCGTTTTTCTTCCACAGAAATTGATCTCAAATATAGCCCAAGTTACAATAGTAAATTAATCAGATAAGAGCTCAAAATTTACTTCAAAAAATTGATGGTATATTGTGATCAAATTAATGATAATTTTCGTCAGTATTGTATAAGTTGCGTGATCCAAACTTTCTTCAATTACTTTTTTATTAAAAGAAATTTATAGAGCTCATTTAACTATTCCTAAATTTTTTGGTATTTTTAACCAATTGCAGAGAAGTAACGTTTAAAAAGGTTATCTATTTTTTGGAAAAATTGATTGATACTTGCATTGTATTAATACTGTATATCTGCTAAAATTTATGTCGAGAATTTTGGCTCATTTACTGCTATCAATTTCTACTTTTTAAACATTCAATTTCATTTGATTGGAACTAATCTTCATGAGTGTGATTTCATTACTCAACATTTAACTGCTATTAAATGATATCAAATACTGTCACTCAACATCTATGGCATATGTATAATCTATAAATGAATATTTATTGTAGAAAAAATAACGCTTTTTGGGCAACTGCTTTCTTATTATAACTTTTTCAATAATAAACGACAAAGTTGGAAATAACAAACAATTAACTTAATATATTTGTGTTAGAGAAAAAATGAAAATTATATCATCACGAATCACAACTTCAGAAATACTTTCCCGCCTTCATTATAGCCACAATAACTATAGAATAGTTTCAAAGTACTGCTGATTTAGCTTTGATATTCGTTACAATTTTATTCATGGGCAAATATATCACAATGAATAACAAATAAGGATTTTTAAGAAACCCCGAAGCAGAACACCTTGTTTGCACTTAGCATTAAAATGTGAAGCAAAACTTTCTAGAAGAATTCTCAAGACTGATAATGCAATACTTTTTTTTAACGATAGAGTGATATAATCGCATAATCTAAACTAGTTTCTTAAATATCTTCATATCCACAATTCACTGTGCAACTTTTAGAAGAAATTTATAAAAGCAAGCAAACAGCATTTGTATTGCACGAAAGACAAATCAAATTTATCAATTTCTTCTTGCTTCCCTCCATTAATGTTGCTTTCTGAAAACTGAAAAGTAAATTTGTTTCAAAAACCTTCCAAATTACTGAAAAATTTGTAACGGTTTAATATTTAGTGACCAGAATTATAAATGTTTGACATTACCAATTATACTAAGATTTTGTGCAACTACATTCTCACTATTTTGCAGTTTCTTCAAATAGATTGTAGAGCAAAAAATCTTCAGCATACTATTCTAGTGTAATCAAGAGCTCTGATTAATTCTTTATCATTATTAAATAGCTTTAAGCCAACATATTTCTCAACTGAAATTATAATTATTTTCTAAGAAATAGACTCGTTTGCTCACTTTTTTTCAAGCATTTTATTCGTTCGTACAATCTAACTTTCATTTACATACTGTAAGTTTTACGAATTTCTTAGTGTTTCCCGTTTTTTTCTCGTATTGCGTTGTCAAATGGTCTACCCTCTTCACACACTCCCTACAGTGTGAGCATATACTTTTATCATTTCATTTTGTAGGCGACAGTATCACGCTTCATCATTGTGTGATGATTGTTTGCACCCTTTGATCAACTGGAACCGCCATCTTTGGAAACCTTATATTGAGCTGACGGCTCAACAAATCCATGCACAGGATAAATAGCAGCGAAGAAAAGGCTATCACCTTAAGCAATTACTCACTGTATTTTCGTCTCCATTGTTTTTTAGTACAACTACCCAGCTCGATATGATGCCTCTCAGAAGCTTGTTGATCTGCGCTAGTCCAGAAGCTTGTTGATCCAAAAGTTTTAAGCCTCTTAATCTACTTAGTCAGGTGTTCGTAATTCTGAATCGAACGCTTTTTAACGTCATACCATGTATTAAATAACTGGTTTCCATGTCCTCTGCAAACCGGCCAGGTTTAGCAGTGCCTGCTCTTTCGCACCCTCAACCTGACTCATGAAACCGTGAGTCTTGTTCTTCCTCAATCAGGTCAATTAATAATATTGGTTTATACAGATCTGTATGCAGGCACTTCTTAATAAATAAGTTGTAGACTCCATCAGGTCGACTTTAGATGAAAGAGTATCCATGTATCCAGTACCCCTTTACTGCAAACGAATTCTCCCAGACATTTGTTGTGCCAGATATCATCATATAAATTCATGATAATTTGTTATCGTGTGGGTCACACAAATAGCTGCGTACTACAAGTTGCGAGCTTGGACAACTTTATTTTTATTCTGCACTTTATCTTTCAAGTGACTAAATTATATATGAATTCAATGCTCTCAGAAATATAAAATTGTCTTGTGCTCAGATTACTTCATTTAAATCACAAAATATTCACAAAAAATTTCAAACAGTTGAAATACATATTAAAGAGAGAAGGTGTTGGTATTTTTTACCAGAAAAATATTTATTGCAATAATTTTTTGAAGAATAATTCAACAGAATGAATGCATCCCACATTTCATTTGATTGTGCGAATATATGTAGCAGATGACCGAAAATGCCACTTCAACATTTAGCAAATTTGATGACACTTTATGTGATGTCAGTAAAAAGTCTTATTCATTCGATGAAATTCATTATACGGAGTTTTCTGCAATTTGCAATTCCCTGTTTGGTAGCGTTGTGAGAAAATTATGTATGTGCATCGAAGTTTACGACGAATTTACCTCAAATTAAAAGGTTCAATCATTTTTATTACTTTTTCTGCATACCAGATGGCCAGAGTAGTCAGATCTCTAATAATGCGCTCTGCAAACTGTGACTGATTTGGAACATTTCAGTTCGGTCGATGGACGAATTAGTTGTTTGTGCAGTGAAGCAGCGATGTAAAACAACTTATGTGTAAATGCAGTGAAACAAATATGATGTGCATGACTTATCTGCTCAGCCAAATTAACTTGTCAGCAAGCATAATGTTAGCTGGTTTTTCTGCTAAGTATTACTGCACTGTTCTGAATATGTGCAAAGGAATGTAATTAATAAGATTCTACAGTAATAATACTCGTAATTTTGCTTCTATGAGTGAACGATTAAAATAAAGTAACTAGTTAGTAAATACGTAAATTTTCGTCTTTAAACAACCCACCCAATCTAAATTTACGCATGCATTTTCCTGGATAGTACGAACTAGCAGGATAATGCGAACTAGCTTATTCGACTTTATAAAGGATTATGTGCATAGCATGTTTCGTTAGGATTAACTTTGCTTCGTGGCCGTTGAATTATGCAATCACATTAAGGTGAAGTCTTCAAAATTTCTTTCAATGATTAGTTTGCCAAGTAATTAAAAGATTATTAAGGGAGTTTATAGAAATAATATTGCCATGCAAACAATTAACTAATACCATATCTTTCTACTTGTTACAGTAGAAACTACTAAAGAAGCCAGCAAAAAAATGTTTAATAAAACACAAAAAGTATACAGAAAGAAGATTTTGGCTTGGCTATGGTACTTTGCTCATAATCATCAAACTACGAAAACAGTTTAAAATTTTTATGAGTCATATGAGACATCAGGACAAAAACTCAAAGTGTAGATTGAGAGAGTAGCATAGAATCTGCTTGAATAAAAAAGCAAACTGATATAGCTAGCTACTGTCTGTTGGTATCATCACAGTATGATATTTTCCACTACTTAATTTTACAAATGTGATCACTAATTAATTATTTGTTTTGCTAAATATTTAAAATTTATTTGAAAAAGTAAAAACTATAAAGTCATTATTCTATAAAGCATATAAACAACTATCAACATTTTACATTTTCGTTGCAGATATGTGTGCATAATAAATATGAATATGTGTGGGCATAATAAATATGTGTATGTAAGTTATCTTGTTAATATGAGTAATGCTATGCTTAATGATTACAACTTCAAAAAAGTGCTAGCTATATAGTAATTATTAATCAGAGAAAGATTATTATTACTCTAAACATTAATTAAGAAAGGTGGACACATATGCAAAATTTTCTGATTAAAAGATATTCTAAATTTACTTCAAAGAAGAACACAAAACTATTTAACGACTAAAATTTCAGTTTTTTTGTGAATGTCAATAAAGTTTTTAGTCCGAAACTTAAGAAAAACAACGTGAAAAAAAGTATTTGAAAGTCTTCAGATATCGCAATTTCATATTCTTTATTAAATGTAAATTATTTTTTTTAAATTAAATGTAAATTATTTTTTTTAAACATTAAACTGCTTTTATTTTTTATTGCTCAATACTATTTTTAATATTTAGTATTTATTTTCATTAAAAAATCTAAGTTTTCGAGTTCTCTTCCAAAAAAAGGCTGCACGAAGCGTTTTCAAAATTTTTCCACTATCTATGAAGTAAGAAAGTTTGATTACGGCGAAGTTACTTTCTTTTTCACATATTTTTTAAAATCTGATTGATCTGATGAGTGGCTCATTTATTCTGTTGAGGGCCCGGACACTGCACTAGATTCCTTTGTAGTACCTGAAAATTATTATTGGGGATTAGCGGCAAAACTCGCATATTTTGCTATGTCTAAATGGAAGCGAAAGATGAAATTAGATATATAAATTTCTACCTTTCAATATCTGTTTTCTTAAAGCTGAGTTGGAGCAAAAAATTTTGCTCCTCTCTAATAAATGCATAAATTTATCTAATCACCACTGCTTTTTTCATCTCGCACTATTTACCTTGTTTTAGACGACCTGAACGGATAGAATCACATTTTGGACCACCAATAGTTAATCTGCAAGCGCACTTCATTGATGATACTAATTAGATAAATAGATATGATACAAGAATACTAAATGTTTTAGTGACAATATTGCTTATTTTTCATATATTCGACAGAAATTTTTATTAACCGCAATGAAAAATCCCGAGTGACATCTTCAGTCATTTTTCGAAAACCACTCATAGTGAGATGGCGAACAATTTTTGGGTTGTAACATTTTGGATCGGAAACCATCCGAACGAGAAATGAGCGTCTCTGTGATCGTGTTGTTTGCTCTTTTTTACTCAGCATTTCTTCTTTACCATAACCTTTGCAATCTGATTGCTAAAATTATCAGAATTTTAAAAATTGTTCAATACTGATTAATGAAATCAATCTAATAAATAACAAATCCTTTATATTCGTTTGCTATGAAACAACAAAAGAATAAAGAGCATATCTGTGCAGCATATTTTGTTTCTTCTGGCTGATTCAGCTCTTCATCTTCAATAAGTGGATATGATACCGAATTATCTGCAGATTTAATGACCATACAAAACTTGCAATAATAAAAATAATTTATCTGACTAACGAGCAGTTGCATTTGAGATGAAAGCAACGTTATAATGCATTGTTTATTATAATTAATTATGCATAATGCATTGTAGAAAAAAGTTCCCTTATTAAACAAATATGATACTCATTATTTGCAATGTTTGGCCTCAGTAACAGTTAGTTTTGGGTTTTCCTTGTTATATTATTAATCAGTGAGAAAGGCAATGATATGTGCTAATCATTGTTCACATCTTATTCCTTACATTATTTCACATATTTTTGTGTGAAAACGTACGATAAATGTGTCGAGCAGTTTGGGAAATTAAATTATAGGCAATATGGATATCTTTTTCTGTAGCATGTTCTGAACAAACGCAGAAACGAATTACAAAACGACCATTTAATGATGCTGGTACCATGTGAATATGACCAGATGAATTCAGTCTTAAAAATATTCTGTCAAAAAATATTCTTATAAATGTGTAAATAGTATAGAACACTAGACTGTGGTCTACGCTATCAATTATCTTTTAAGTAATAATAACAAACTCGAATTTTTATTTAAATAGAAAGTGATTGATAATGTGGAGTATTGATCTTTGATTATAATATTTAAACTTCTGCTCGATGATGCTTTCATTCTTTTACTGCCTTCAATGTTTTAAAATTTATATATGAATATTTGAGTTAAAACTTGAACTTAGTAAGAAGCTCTTGATTCATTTCTTCCGATGCAATCATACGGAAGCAAACCAGACCGAGAATAACATCACCAACGATTTCAAATAATTTGTCAGTCCGAACAAGTTGTTCGAATAATTTGGCCAAATAACAATGCTGAAACAGTAGTTGTAAGATTAATTACAATAATACTTTCCAAAATTTTGGATATTATAACAAGTAATCTAGTGTTAGAGTACAAAAGTGCACAGTGAAAATTAAGTGTTGCTGATGTCTTTATTATCACAGATTAAATCAGTTTAATGAGACAGAGTCTGATTAAACTGAATCTGTGATGACAAATTTCGTTACAATCGCAACGACCTCTAATGAACATTATTGCTGGCAAGGTTGAAGCATGTGTTGAAAAATTTTCTAGTTCCGCGCCTATTTAATCTTTTACGAATTTCAAGCGATAAATGGTGAAATGCTACAGTACTATTTCACACGTTACATGTGAAATGATCTTTTACTAAGTGTTAAGAACTTTGTTAAGAGACAACTTCATTTTTAAGTGCTCCACTAAAGTATTAAAATACTGAACTCTTCGAATATAGTTTTGCAGTCCTTCGACGCCGTATGCTCGAATCACAAACCATAACTTCAGCGATCGGAAACGGCGACTCAATGGAATACTCCAATGGCGGTAATCGATAGCCTTATCTAAAATTACTTATTAAAGTTATAGTGTTTATTAATTTTGAAAATGTTCTTTTTGAAAAATGCCCTGAATGCAAATAATAAAAATATTAAGGAATTGAATAAAAAAAGCTGCAACAAAAAATCATTAATAGTTATACAAAATATTATAATTTACTACTACATACTAGATAATTCATAATGACCAGATCAGAACATGAACTTGTACAAAGTTCTTATTGACAAACAATATTTGTAAATTTGAAAAAACCTGTCCAGCTATGTTGCAAATATAGAGGATCAACTACCAGAGCTTGTGTTAGTTTATAACGATCTTTCACCCTTCAATTTATTCATTATTAATTAATCTAGTTAAAAGCACAGGCTATCAGCATTACATTCAAAAATGTTTCAAGTGATTTCTTAAAGACTAAATAAGTGTACTGTACTTCAAAGACTTTGAACACAAATTTAGTAGTGTGTTAAGAATTATGCAAATAGATGCGTCTTCTATTTCTTAGAGTTTTTATATAAAGCTTACAACAACAGCACACATTTAAAAGTACCACATGGTGGAACAGTCGAAATTAATGAGCATGAATTTATTAGGGTTAGTATTGAAACTCATGGCATATTCAATCCCATCCATTAGCGGTCGGAATTCAGGAC